CTCCCAGCAGCCCTCAACCAGAGCAAGAAGCAGCCAGGTAAGTTGCAGAGCCCCCCCCCGGCCCCCCAGTCCAAAACAGTCCAGTGGCACCTTTAAGACCAAGTTTTATTCAGGTACAAGCTCTCCCTCCTGTGCGAGGACAGATCTGCACGTTCCTGCCCCCCAATAGCTAGCAATCCAAAACAGTCCAGTGGAGCCTGAGCGGTGGGTGTTGCCTTCTGACACACTTCCGGTGATTTCAGAGGGTGTGGCATATGCAAATAAGTTATGCTAATGAGTTATGCTAATGAGCTCCTTCCTGCACCTCTTTTTCTACGAAATGAACCCTGGCCCCACCAACCTCACAGGGTGTCTGTTGTGGGGAGGGGGAGGGAAAGGAGTTTGTAAGCCACTTTGAGACACCTTCCGGTAGTGATGGGCGGGGTATAAATCCAATTTCATCTCTCTTCTTCATCATTTGAGTTGGCATACTGTTACATTGCATTTTAATTGTTTACTTGACAAGGAACAAAGAGGTCTTCTTTGACCAAAACCAAGGACTTTTCATAACCAAGCAAAAAAGACTCATTCTTGGATAAAGGGCCAGAATCACTCCTTCACCCGGGCTCCTTGAAACCTTTTATCGAAACATAGGGTAGAGCACATGAACCTTCCACCAGAAATGTAGCGAGAAGCTAGGCAGATCCAGTCATCCATACAAGCCCATCCTCAACTGCTCTATTAGTGCTACATTCAGTGTCTATTACCATTGCTAGACAAAGACACAGGTAAGAAAAAAATGTTTACTTGTTCTGTCTACATGGACCTGGCTTGTACTCTGATCAGAAGAAGAAGAGGAGGAGCTTTTCTAAATATTGAACATCCTTTCTAATATTCAAACTATGGAGGTACGGGTATAAAGTTATATTAAAAGTAAAACCAAGTTAATATGGAAATTAAATCATCATTCCCTTTGACAGTGCCGCATTTTCTTTATAGCTCAGCTCTCCTTATATGGGAGGATTCTGTTGGACTGTGGCCTTCTCATTCGTTACTCCAGCGTAAGGACTTTATTGTAATTCCTTAAAACTCCCCTAACTGCATTAGCGTTCCTATGGGCCCCTTAATCCTCTGATGCCCGTGGATTTTAGTGTGTGATTTCTCACAGCACTGCCATGAACCGAAGCAGTTGTGCACGTGGCCAGACTTCTGGCAAGGCTGCTGAAGGCCTGTGCATGAGGATTTAAGAAGCCTAAAAGGAATGTGGGCACGGAGAGCGAGCAAGGGCAGGATTTAGGAAGTTCTCACCAGCATTACAGCCCTGCCTTCCGCACGATCAGTCAGTGCAGGCCTGGAAGTTCTTCCCCTGGTGCCTGCCACAGAAACGGCTGGGTCGCACAGTAGAATGCAGGATAGGAACGGTTTTCGTGAAGAGGTATCCTCACTTTTACTAAACGTGAACCTGGGAATGCAGGACTGCCCTAGAAGGACTTTGAGTCCTTTGATCCTGCAGGGCTCTTTGTATGTTCTTGTTGGGTGATAGTGAGATATTGAAAAAATGGTATTTAGCAGAGATAATATGGCCCAGCAGAGCCTGAGTAAAATAATTCAGACTGAGAGTCCATGTGTGATTAAAATATAAAGTTTTTACTAAATTCTAGCATGGGAAGGGTAACTGGGATGAAAATAACAACAGAGCTAAACGGCTACATCCTTACACTACAAAGACAAAACCAGAAGAGAGAATGGCTGCTCTTCTTCTCCTTGAGAACACACAAAGACGGGAAGAGAAGCCATAAAATGGTAATACACCTTGGCACTTTAGTCCCAATCAAATCCCTTGATGAGGGAGAAAATTCCTGTGCAATCCGCATCTAAAGAACATTGGTTACATGAGAAACATGTGACTTCCTGTGAGTAACAAACAAACATTTAACCCCAGATATACTGAGTGTTTTCAACTTGTAATACCCAACAGTTCTTACCTGCAGTTGGTCAGTGTGCTCTCATTCCGGTAAATTTTACTAGACGAACAAAGCGAGAACTGTAAGAGGTGGTCAGATTACCAACCCCAGAGCAATTTTCCCCCCCTGTCGAGCCACAGTTTACCTATGGCAACCTCATAGGGTTTTCAAGGCAAGAGGCATTAAGAGGTGTTTCTGCCATTGCCTGCCTCCGCGTCTCGGCCCTGGTATTCCTTGCAGGTCCCCCATCCAAATACTAGCCAGGGAATGGAGCTCTATGATATTGACGCCATCCAACAAACACAGCTCACATTCATGTGGAAGATAATATGATGGGGGGGGGGAATATTTTTCCCCTCCTACATGTTTGTTTTGTCTTTAAGAAATTAAAAAATGGGTGTTTTTTTTTAAAAAAAGAAGATAATATGATGGAAGGAAATCGAGGAACACAGTTTTTCCTGGACGAGAGGGGCAATTGTCACTTCAAAGCAAAAAGAAAGAAAAAGAAAGAAAGAGGTTCCAGGCATTTTTCTTGCTTTCCCCCACTTGCTTTGTCTTTTGCCCTTTCGGCACATTTTTATTTTTGTTCATTTACTCCATTCATCCCCCACCTCTCTTCTCAGTGGAGACCAAAAGCAGCATACATCATTTCCCTCTCCTCCATTTTATCAGTCACAATAATCCTGTGAGGTCAGTGAAGTATACGGGACTGGATCAAGGTCACCCAGAGAGTTTCCGTGGCAGAGTGAGGATTCGAACCTGGGTCTTCCAGACCCTCGTCCATCATTCTCACTGCTACAACACCCCACTTAGTCCCCATGCACATGGAACTGTGAGCAGGTGCTTGATTGTATAAAAGCGTCCCAGCAAGAAGTGTCTCGGAGGAAGGGTAAATAAACAGATGTTAGTCTGCGGCACCTTAAACCCCATTTCATTCCAATACAAACTGTTGTGGACTGTGCTCCACCTCTTTCATTGCCTCTGAAGAAGTGGGTTATTATTATCTAGGAAATCTGATTTCCCAGGACTCCTGTAATTTTCACTGCAAGGTGTGCTCTTAGTCCAAGAGAGAATCCACTGGAATGAAAACTTGTTGACCTGTCAGGTTAATTCCATTGGGATTGCCATATTGGTATTCCCAGTAGTCAATGTATGGCTGTGAGAGTTGGACTATAAGGAAGGCCGAGCGCCGAATAATAGATTCTTTTGAACTATGGTGCTGGAGAAGACTCCTGAGAGTCCCTTGGACTGCAAGAAGATCAAATCAGTCAATCCTAAAAGAAATCAACCCTGACTGTTCCCTGGAAGGCCAGATAATGAAACTGAAGCTCAAATACTTTGGCCACCAAATGAGAAGGGAGCACTCACTGGAGAAGACCCTGATGCTGGGAAAGATTGAAGGTCAAAGAAGACGGGGACGGCAAAGGATGAGATGGTT